CCTGAAGGTGAGCACCACCTGGCAGGTGCCGCGCGCGTCGCCATAGTCCTCAACCACACTACTCCTAACCTAACCTAATCTATAAAGATAGGTTAGGTTAGGTTAGGTAGGGTTGGTTAGGTTCGGTCATATATCTACGTTAATTTTAATTCCAATAAAAAAAAATTGACCTCATACATAATGAAATGGGTAGCTTTATCATTTCATAAGAAAAAAATTAGAGAAAATATATTAATTCAGGAAAACTTGGCCTATTAGGCAAATCGGGCCTTGCATAGTAGGCTGAGAAGTGCGTTCTGGCTACTAGGTACGACATATATATATATATATATATATATATATATATATATATATATATATATATATATATATATATATATATATATATATATATATATATATATATATATATATAACTATATATATATATATATATATATATATATATATATATATATATATATATATATATATATATATATATATATATATATATATATATATATATATATATATATATATAATATATATATATATATATATATATATATATATATATATATATATATATATATATATATATATATATATATATATATATATATATATATATATATATATATATATATATATATATATATATATATATATGTCGCACCTAGTAGCCAGAACTCACTTCTCAGCCTACTATGCAAGGCCCGATTTGCCTAATAAGCTAAGTTTTCATGAATTAATTGTTTTTCGACTATCTAACCTACCTAACCTAACCTAACCTAACTTTTTCGGCTACCTAACCCAACCTTACCGATAAAGATAGGTTAGGTTAGGTTAGGTAGGGTTGGTTAGGTTCGGTCATATATCTACGTTAATTTTAACTCCAATAAAAAAAAATTGACCTCATACATAATGAAATGGGTAGCTTTATCATTTCATACGAAAAAAATTAGAGAAAATATATTAATTCAGGAAAACTTGGCTTATTAGGCAAATCGGGCCTTGAATAGTAGGCCGAGAAGTGCATTCTGGCTACTAGGTACGACATATATATATATATATATCGAACCTATATATATATAGGTTCGATCATACTAGGTACGATCATACTAGGTACGATCATACTAGGTACGATCATACTAGGTTCGATTAGCTACTAGGTACGACATATATATATATATATATATATATATATATATATATATATATATATATATATATATATATATATATATATTTATATATATATATATATATATATATATATATATATATGTCGTACCTAGTAGCCAGAACGCACTTATCGGCCTACTATTCACGGCCCGATTTGCCTAATAAGCCAAGTTTTCCTGAATTAATATATTTTCTCTATTTTTTTTCTTATGAAATGATAAAGCTACCCATTTCATTATGTATGAGGTTAATTTTTTTTTATTGGAGTTAAAATTAACGTAGATATATGACCGAACCTAACCAACCCTACCTAACCTAACCTAACCTATCTTTATAGGTTAGGTTCTGTTAGGTAGCCGAAAAAGTTAGGTTAGGTTAGGTTAGGTAGGTTTGGTAGTCGAAAAATCATTAATTCATGAAAACTTGGCTTATTAGGCAAATCGGGCCTTGCATAGTAGGCTGAGAAGTGCGTTCTGGCTACTAGGTACGACATATATATATATATATATATATATATATATATATATATATATATATATATATATATATATATATGTCGTACCTAATAGCCAGAACGCACTTCTCAGCCTACTATTCAAGGCCCGATTTGCCTAATTAGCCAAGTTTTCCTGAATTAATGTTTTTTCGTCTACCTAACCTACCTAACCTAACCTAACCTAGCTTTTTTTGGCTACCTAACCTAACCTTACCTATAAATATAGGTTAGGTTAGGTTAGGTAGGGTTGGTTAGGTTCGGTCATATATCTACGTTAATTTTAACTCCAATAAAAAAACATTGACCTCATACATAGAGAAATGGGTAGCTTTATCATTTCATAAGAAAAAAATTATAGTAAATATATTAATTCAGGAAAACTTGGCTTATTAGGCAAATCGGGCCTTGAATAGTAGGCTGAGAAGTGAGTTCTGGCTACTAGGTACGACATATATATATATATATATATATATATATATATATATATATATATATATGTCGTACCTAGTAGCCAGAACTCACTTTTCAGCCTACAATGCAAGGCCCGATTTGCCTAATAAGCCAAGTTTTCATGAATTAATATATTTTCTCTAATTTTTTTCTTATGAAATGATAAAGCTACCCATATCATTATGTAAGAGGTCAATTTTTTTTTATTGGTGTTAAAATTAACGTAGATATATGACCGAACCTAACCTAACCTAACCAATCTTTATAAGTTAGGTTTGGTTAGGTAGCCGAAAAAGTTAGGTTAGGTTAGGTTAGGTAGGTTAGGTACTCGAAAAGCAATTAATTCATGAAAACTTGGCTTATTAGGCAAATCGGGCCTTGCCTAGTAGGCTCAGAAGTGAGTTCTGGCTACTAGGTACGACATATACATATATATATATATATATATATATATATATATATATATATATATATATATATATATATATATATATATATATATATATATATATATATATATATATATGTATGTCGTACCTAGTAGCCAGAACGCACTTCTCAGCCTACAATGCAAGGCCCAATTTGCCTAATAAGCCAAGTTTTCATGAATTAATTGTTTTTCGACTACCTAACCTACCTAACCTGACCTAACCTAACTTTTTCGGCTACCTAACCTAACCTAACCTATAAAGATAGGTTAGGTTAGGTTAGGTAGGGTTGGTTAGGTTCGGTCATATATCTACGTTAATTTTAACTCCAATAAAAATTTTTTTACCTCATACATAATGAAATGGGTAGCTTTATCATTTCATAAGAAAAAAATTAGAGAAAATATAATAATTCAGGAAAACTTGGCTTATTAGGCAAATCGGGCCTTGCATAGTAGGCCGAGTACGACGTTCTGGCTACTAGGTACGACACACACACACATATATATATATATATATATATATATATATATATATATATATATATATATATATATATATATATATATATATATATATATATATATATATATATATATATATATATATATATATATGCGAACAAGCTTGAATGGTCCCCAGGACTATATGCGAATGAAAACTCACACCCCAGAAGTGACTCGAACCCATACTCCCAGGAGCAACGCAACTGGTAACTACAGGGCGCCTTAATCCACTTGACCATGGAATCAATTAATCCACTTAATCCACCTTAAAGTGGATTAAGGCGCCCTGTAGTTACCAGTTGCGTTGCTCCTGGGAGTATGGGTTCGAGTCACTTCTGGGGTGTGAGTTTTCATTCATATATATATATATATATATATATATATATATATATATATATATATATATATATATATATATATATATATATATATATATGTATATGTCGTACCTAATAGCCAGAACGCACTTCTCAGCCTACTATTCAAGGCCCGATTTGCCTAATAAGCCAAGTTTTCATGAATTAATGTTTTTTCGTCTACCTAACCTACCTAACCTAACCTAACCTAGCTTTTTTTGGCTACCTAACCTAACCTTACCTATAAATATAGGTTAGGTTAGGTTAGGTAGGGTTGGTTAGGTTCGGTCATGTATCTACGTTAATTTTAACTCCAATAAAAAAAAATTGACCTCATACATAATGAAATGGGTAGCTTTATCATTTCATAAGAAAAAAATTAGAAAAAATATATTAATTCAGGAAAACTTGGCTTATAAGGCAAATCGGGCCTTGAATAGTAGGCCAAAAAGTGAGTTCTGGCTACTAGGTACGACATATATATATATATATATATGTATGTATATATATATGTCGTACCTAGTAGCCAGAACGCATTTCTCAGCCTACTATGCAAGGCCCGATTTGCCTAATAAGCCAAGTTTTCATGAATTAATGTTTTTTTGACTACCTAACCTACCTAACCTAACTTTTTCGGGTACCTAACCTAACCTGACCTATAAAGATAGGTTAGATTAGGTTAGGTAGGGTTGGTTAGGTTCGGTCATATATCTACGGTAATTTTAACTCCAATATTTTTTTTTTTACCTCATACATAATGAAATAGGTAGCTTTATCATTTCATAAGAAAAAAATTTGAGAAAATATATTAATTCATGAAAACTTGGCTTATTAGGCAAATAGGGCCTTGCATAGTAGGCTGAGAAGTGCGTTCTGGTACTAGGTACGACATATATATATATATATATATATATATATATATATATATATATATATATATATATATATATATATATATATATATATATATAGTTAAACAAATCATAGTTAAACAAATCTATCTAATGTAAGATGTGGGAAATTATTTTCAACAACATCAACCTCTGGAGTGTTATTACAACTTTCGCAGTCTTGCACTGACCGAGTGGCAAGTAATCCTTAATCGACAACTTAGTTTTGAACTAATACTTTCAGTGTAAAATAGACTGAAATTCGGTCTATGCATCTCAGCTAATATATTCAAGGTGAGATTTAGTTTTAATATCGCCTTGAAGTAGCGAAAATGGAGATATGAAGAAAATAACTTTGACTTAAGGGCAAAATTCTGTTCTACTTCTCATAATTAATAGTAATATTTTGATTCGATATTTTGAATGTCATTATTGTGGCACTTTTGATTTTTATTGTAATTATATGAATGTATATATATTCCTCTGTCAAATTAAAATATATTTTGAAATATATTCATCTCTACAATTTAATTTAAAGACATTAATTAAAAATTTAATTTTCTAATTAATTCATTAATTAGAAAAAGTACTTGACAATACGTAACGTTAATTAGAAAACATACTGTATGAACTCGAAAAACATAAAAATCTAATTTTTAAATAAATATTATAAATGTTTTAAGTTATATACTCTTTCACCCCATCAGAGCTGGAGAAAGCTTTCAAAGAGGGTCGCATTGCCAGTCTGATTGGCGTCGAGGGTGGACACGCCATTCAGAGCTCTTTGGGAGTCCTCCGAGCACTCAGAGATCTGGGAGTACGCTACCTCACCCTTACCCACACCTGCAGCACGCCCTGGTGAGTAAGCACACCCTACCTTGTAACTGCATTACTATTTATTAGTAATAGTAGTATTTCCTTTCCTGCACCTGCAGTTTAGTCACCACTTTACCCCTGGTGAGTAAACTCACATTACTACACACCTGCAATACCTCCTAGTGAGTATACCCACCCTGGAGTAAATATACTCCATTGTATGTATATACAGGAAGAAGCATGTTATAATTTTTAGGCTTCAAAATATGTAAAGCCTGGTGAGCGAGAAAGAATTTTGTTTAAAGGGAGGGAAGGATTCTGAGTGCCAAAAGTTTGCATTATTAATGTTTAGTATATGTTATGCATTTTTATAGTGTTCCTTCCATTCCTCTCGTTGCTAAGTAGTTTGGTGCAAGATTTACAGAGGTGTGTCAGTATTACTGATAATGCCATACTGAATCTAAGTGGGAGAGCTGAGCAAGGTCTAGAGGGAGGCAGCCAAGCGTATGAGAGAAGTAACTAGTCAGGGTCGACCAGCGAAGAGAATGTACCCAAGACGAAGGGTACAACGTTGTTTACGAAGGGTAAACAACGTCGAGGTCCATACGCACTCTCTCTCACACGCACACAGGAAATACTACTAGTAACAAGCAACCTGTTCTTTGACTATATGGTTAAATTAAAAGAAATGAACTTAAGAGGTTAGATATGAGAACGTAGACTACAGGAAAGGGAACTACGCGAGAATAAGAGAACACCTGGAAAAAGTGCATTGGGAGATAGAATTTAAGGGAAAGATGTAGCAAATCAAACTGAGATGCAATGTCACTAAGGAAAAATTCATACCAACAACAAAGGTAAAATGTATGAGGGGAACACAGCAACTCGTGGTTCAATACACAGTGTCAAGAAGATGAAATGAAAAGCAGGAGGGAATGGAAAAATTACCGAGGATGGAGGGCCGAAGAGCACTGATATAGATGCAACAGAGCTATGAATGAGTATTTAAGCATAAGAGAGCCAGAAAGAGGTATGACAATGACATTGAACCAAAATCAAAGAAACACTCAAAGAAAATTACAATAAATGATCAACTGACTACATTATGCAAGAGGGAAGAAGGTTCAGAAAATTTTAAGGAAGTTGGTGCCAGATTCCAGTGTGTATTGTCGACTGAGCCTGAACAGCCCAATATTGAGATACCACTAGAGGAAATAATGATTCTACTTCCATCATTAGATAAAAATAAAGCTATGGAACTAGATAATATTTCATCACGAATGTTAAAAGAAAGCAACACAGTCTCTCAGTAAATGAGTCAATTGAGAAGGGAGTTTTACCCATCTGTTGCATAATGGTGAGTCTCGTGCCACTATATAACAAAGTACATAAGTAGGAGGCACCAAAATACAAACCTGTATGACTTACAAGCATCCCCTGTTAGGTACGCAATGGATAATAAGGATAAGTCTTGTTAAACCAGCCCGTCCTTTTACAAATTACGTCGTTCCTCGCTCATATGTACTACGGACAAAAATCGCTGTATTGGAACATTCAAAAAATGTAAATTAATTTTCCAAATTAAATGCACCTTAAAGCAGCAAGTTAAGGGTTCTAAGGTAGGTTAGGAGAGCAGGAAATTCTCCTAATGTATCAAAACGTCATGAAAACCGTTAATTTAAAGAGTCCTCTCCTAACCTAACCGAGTAAGTTGGAGGACCCAAAACAGAAAACGGGACAGTACGTCAATTTCGTGAGCCGATCTATTATGACTATTTTTGGCCTTAGTGAGCAAACGATCGAAAAGTGAAGTAATTAGTAAGATGATCATAACTGCTACAGCGGATCATAAATGTAAACAAGCACCAACATGACTTGAGGAAAGGCAGATGATGCTGAACGAACTTACGTGAGTTCTATGACAAAGTAATAATAAGAAGATAGAATAATGAAAAAGTGTGTATTTCAGGACTGCCAAAAAGCCTTAGACACAATTCACACTGGAGACTACTACATAAACTTGAGAGGAAAACAGGGGAAAGTGGAAGAGCACAGGCATGGGTAAGAAAGTACCTAATAGGCATTAAGGCGGATGAAGTCAGACTGGTGTAGAATACTAAGCAGAACACCTCAGATATCGGTGCTGGGCACGTCATACTATTCATCATTTATGTTAATGACTTCACTGCAGGAGAGTTAATGATATCAATGATAAAGAGGTAATTATGCAGACGTTGAGTCACAGTAACGTATCTGAAGATTTGACGACCAAACCACACACCAGAAGATGAGGAGACGACGACGTTTTGGTCGGTCCCTGACCATTATCAAGTCGATAGTGATGGGAGCGAGGGAGGCGCGGGCATAAGTAAGGTAGCAATGAGGTGAAGAGCAGGTGAGAGGAGATAATTCCTAGAGAAGGTAAGAGCAAAGTGAAAGGCAAAAACAAAAAGAAAGGTACTATTGGGATGGGTGTAATAATAGGGTGACAGAAGAATGGGAATGTAAGAATGAGAGAAGATGTGGGAAAATTTTCGGGATAGATATATAAGGAGAACTACTAGGAACTTGTACTGTACTAAATTAAAAAATTACTGTACACAAAATTAATTCAACTAAAGTCCCTGGTTAGGGTTGTAAATCCTATCTCCTCTTTTCCTTATGACAGACTGTGGGCTGTAAGGGGCAGATGGGGGATCCCTAAAAGTGAATGGAGAAGTTGATTGGAGATCCACAATCCATCTGCAGACAATTTAACACATCAGCTTATATTGTTAATACAAGGATAAGATTTAAAATTCAGTTCTATAACTGAACACTGGTTTTTTTTTTATTATTATTCTTTTCTACCACAGACGTGGCCACACATTAACAATGCTAAGCAGCATATATTCATTTTCTTCTGTCCTCCATGGACAGGGATAGAGATTTGTTAAACATATAGTTCAGGAATTTATTGAACAATCAACCACAGAAGGTGATTGTAGTACTTTTAAAATGCTAGGCTAAGCTACATACGTAAATACATAAATACACAGATTTACGTATGCCCTACATAAAGTGTTCGATGTGTCTTTTACATAGTGTCATTAACGTGCATTTACAAAGGTGAAAAGGAATTCTGGTCAGCTTCCACATATACTTTATACACATACATATACACACACACATATACGTACATATATACATACATACATACATATATACACAAATACATTTGTCTCTTTTACTCTGACAGGGTGAGATAACTGATAGCAAAACTAGTGTGCAATTAAGCACTTAATCACTGAAGGTGATTAAGGTGCTTGCACAAGCTCAGGTTATAGAGTTACATCATATACATTCATTGTATAATTGATACATTACATGGTCAATCTAGGGTACAAGTCCAATATATCATCAAGTGTTCCAGTACTCATATAGTAGTTACAGCATACCTTAGCCCAGGAGGGTGAAAGTCAGTCAGTATGGGACATTCTACAATATAATGTTCAAGGGAGTGCATGTTTTCTCTTTCACAAAGTTGACACATTGTGTACTCGACATTTGGGTTTTGAGAAAGCTGCCAGATACGTCTATATCCCAGGCGTATTCTGGCCACTATAACATCACACTGCTGAGTTCTTTTTCTATTAGTCCCATATGTGAATGTCTCCTCACGATATCTATCATAAAATTTAATGCTACAACTTTCAGGTCTTTGTGAATTTGTTAGGTCGGTGAGATTTTCATTAGATATTTGTTTAAGTATTCTCTTTGTCACTGCTAATAAAACACGCATATCAATGTCTACCACTGGTTTTCTACAGGCTGTCTTTGCAAGCTTAACAGTGTCATGCCTTGAGATACCAACATTTGATGGTATCCATAGGAATTTAATTTCAAATCTCTTTTCTTTGGCAGCTAAAACATTCATTCGAATATCACTGACTATTTTCTGGGTGTTATTGCTATGTGCGTTCAATGCAGGGAGTGCACTCTGCGAATCACTGTATACAAGTCCACTGCTTTTGTCTATTAAAAATTCCGTGGCAAGGTATATAGGTATATGCCTGCAAGTTCGGTTTGAGTTGTACTTGCCCAGTCATTGACGCGCTTCATTGCTGTATGTACGAGAGGAGATTATTCAAATATATTACATGCGCAACCGGTACATCGTCCACCTTCTTCTACAGAACCGTCGGTGTAACACTGATACACATCGTTACCCACACCCTGAGTACTCTCAGTGATGCTTTTCAGTGTTAACTGTTTTAATAATGTAGAGTGTACACTATCTTTTTTGGGTGCATTTACAAAATCAACTGCTAGATCCAAGTTATCCCATGAAGTAATTGGTTGATTAATCGTTAATTGAGTTGGGTACATATTTAATATTTTGATGGAGTTGGCTACCTTGTAGAACCAAAATGCATAATCAAATTTCGCTCTTCTTCTACAGACCTCAGGTGAGTGCAGCATATTAGAAAGTTTAGCTTGAAACTTCATGTGTTGTCTAGATCTACTCAATGCCTTCACGCCGAAAACTGTGCTAATAGACAAAATTCTCTCACTTGTGGTAGGTAATTTTAACTCAGCTCTCATATTAACCATTCTCGTCGACTTTGGAGCCCCAAGGATGAGGCGCATAGCTTTATTTTGCAAGGTTTCAAGAGATTTCAGCTCTTTGTCTGTATACAGTGTGAGATGTAGAGCATTGTAGTCAATCACAGAGCGTATAAATGATACATAAAACATTCCAGCAAGTCTCACGTTAATTCCATGATTGACACCAACAAGGACCCGCAAGGGCTTTAATCTCTGCCACAGTCTCCTCTTGAGAGAAGAAAAGTACCCAGGGTCGTTAATGGGGACACCAAGGTAGCTAAGACTCGCAGTTTTCGAGTGCTTGCCCATCTATATGATAATTGACTGGTGGAATACCACATGGAATGAGGGCACGAGTTTTCTGTACAGAGATAAGGAGGCCACATTCCTCAGCTTTAGTAGCAAAAGCGTCGAGCAGAACTTGCCTTCTAGGCTCAGAGGCAGCCTGTAAACAT